AATTGACCGCAAAATGGTGCTAGCGGTAAGGCGAATGTCGTGTAGTTACTCTTCTCATACATCCTTTCGTCTCTCTTTTCTTCTTCCCACCTCTCGTCCTCCTGCGACTCTTATGATTTCACGCAAAATACACGCGACACACACGTACTCCGCTGCACTGCATGCGAGATTATATTTTCTTTTCTTTTCTTATTATTCTTTTTATTTGATCTTTTTTTGAGGGGGGAGGGAGGATTTTTTTTTCTTTCGCGAGAAAATGTCGTCGTTTAGTAATACTTCTGCAAGGCTTCTGAAATGGGTGTAATTTCGTCCAAGTTAATTTTCAATACTAGAAATATATGAGAGACCTTTTAAATCAATTTTCGGCTTTCCCATATGATTTTTGACACAAGATTACAGTAATATATAATTTGTATGTGTATAGTTCTGAGAGAAATCCGGAATTGAATGACGACATTTAATTCTATTATAAATATAGAATTTGAAAAGTCTTCTCGTTTTTTTTCTCTCGTTTCTTTTAACAGGTATATTTTAGAAAAATGGTATTTATTGTATTTCGAATAAAGTACATTCACAAAAATACATAAAATATAATTCAAAAATAAAACACATTGCAATTGAGATTTTTATGCATTTGTCGCATCACAATCTAAACTTATCGAAATTACATTGACTTCAGCCTGTGCTTTATTGTCTCTTTACAATGCCAAAAAGTCTGTATATCTGCATATCTGTTACAGTCGAAGTGTACGATTGGTTGATCAGTTGAACCACAAGGTGTGCAGGAAGTCGCGTGTAATAAGAAAATGGTACATTTAACGATTATTTACATTTTGATAATTAATTTTCATAAACTCTAATTTATATATTGAATTTTTATAGAAGCGTCTTGAGATCATATTGTTATATTGAGCATTACTTCCAATATATAGTGTAAGTTTTTTTACCAATTTATATATACAATAGATGATTTAATAATTTTATAATTGTAGGCTGTTTCACTTTGATTCTTCTCTTGTCACTTTTATTTGCAATTATACTTGATGCTCAAATAACGAAATGAACTCAATATATATCTTATATAAATTTGATGTTTTTTTTATTATTCTTTTTAAAGAAAAATCAAAATTGATATTTATTAAAATTCTCTTTGGTGAACACGATATATATAACTTTTATGGTAATTAAAAAATAGATTAGACAAGTAAAGTATAGAATATTTGTTTAGTGTTGTGTTTTTTTTATCTGAATCTATTCTGTAGAATTATTTTGCACTTTGACTGTAACATATTCAGCACATACGTGTGTGTGTGTGTGTGCGTGTACTAAATAAATAAAAGTCCACCATTGCACATTTGTATTTGTTGTGACTAGTCTGCTTCTCATCTACAATACAATGAAAATAATACTGTTTAATACTATTGCTCAACATGACGTGTTTTCCCAAAATAAAAGAAAAAAAAGAAACGAATTTAATGTCTTTTATTATCTCTATCATACTTCTCTTGCTACAAGGCTTTGTATATTTGTTTCAGGACGAATTCGCCGGTGATGGTGTTGATCTCTACGATGACGTGATTGCAGCTCCGGCAGGTGGTAATGGTGGCGTTTCCTCCGGGAATGCCGGGGATGGTGGTGGTGATACCACGTCTCCGAACGAGGAAACTAATGGAAACGCTCCTTATCATCAACTTGGCAATAATATACAACCAAATCAAATTGGTAGACGCCACCAGCTATATGTTGGGAATTTGACATGGGTATATATGCATGCAAAGATTTAATTTTAATATATATATATATATATATATTTTTTGGTTTGACAAAAATAAAAATAAAAATTA